TAAAAGACACCTGTGCACATAAGCAATCAATCAATCAGATTCCAAACTCTCCACCATGGCCAAGACCAAAGAGCTCTCCAAGGATGTCAGGGAGAAGATTGTAGACCTACACAAGGTTGGAATGGGCTACAAGACCATCGCCAAGCAGCTTGGTGAGAAGGTGACAACAGTTGGTGCGATTATTCGCAAATGGAAGAAACACAAAAGAACTCTCAATCTCCCTCGGCCTGGGGCTCCATGCAAGATCTCACCTCGTGGAGTTGCAATGATCATGAGAACGGTGAGGAATCAGCCCAGAACTACACGGGAGGATCTTGTCAATGATCTCAAGGCAGCTGGGACCATAGTCACCAAGAAAACATTTGGTAACACACTATGCCGTGAAGGACTGAAATCCTGCAGCACCCGCAAGGTCCCCCTGCTCAAAAAAGCACATATACATGCCCGTCTGAAGTTTGCCAATGAACATCTGAATGATTCAGAGGACAACTGGGTGAAAGTGTTGTGGTCAGATGAGACCAAAAGGGAGCTTTTTGGCATCAACTCAACTCGCCGTGTTTGGAGGAGGAGGAATACTGCCTATGACCCCAAGAACACCATCCCCACCGTCAAACATGGAGGTGAAAACATTATGCTTTGGGGGTGTTTTTATGCTAAGGGGACAGGAAAACTTCACCGCATCAAAGGGACGATGGACGGGGCCATGTACCGTCAAATCTTGGGTGAGAACCTCCTTCTCTCAGCCAGGGCATTGAAAATGGGTCGTGGATGGGTATTCCAGCATGACAATGACCCAAAACACACGGCCAAGGCAACAAAGGAGTGGCTCAAGAAGAAGCACATTAAGGTCCTGGAGTGGCCTAGCCAGTCTCCAGACCTTAATCCCATAGAAAATCTGTGGAGGGAACTGAAGGTTCGAGTTGCCAAACGTCAGCCTCGAAACCTTAACGACTTGGAGAAGATTTGCAAAGAGGAGTGGGACAAAATCCCTCCTGAGATGTGTGCAAACCTGGTGGCCAACTACAAGAAACGTCTGACCTCTGTGATTGCCAACAAGGGTTTTGCCACAAAGTACTAAGTCATGTTTTGCAGAGGGGTCAAATACTTATTTCCCTCATTAAAATGCAAATCAATTTATAACAATTTTGCCATGCGTTTCTCTGGATTTTGTTGTTATTCTGTCTCTCACTGTTCAAATAAACCTACCATTAAAATTATGGACTGATCATTTCTTTGTCAGTGGGCAAACGTACAAAATCAGCAGGGGATCAAAAACTTTTTTCCCTCACTGTATATGTGGTCACATCAATACTCTCCTCCTTCACCAACTCGCACTGACTAATGTGGTGACGTATGGACAAACCCCTCCCACTACCTGTACCATGTGGGAAGACCATAGTCTAGAAGTGGACTGACAAAGGGCTGCACATGTACATGTATATAATACAAAGTTCCATGGTTTCGAGTGGCTGTGTCATTCATGCTACCATAAGCTTTAACACTTTTAAATAGCAACCTAATGCATCCACATGGTTGACAATTTTTAGTTGAATCCCTTTTGTAAAATCACAGTTGGGCTGCAGAATTTGTGCTTGCTCTGTGAACTGAAGTTTTAATTTTATTTATAAGCAATGGCTTTTATGACAATACGTTTTATTACACACTGAAAATGCCATAGGACTTAATTGGCGTGAGGAGTATCAGTGAGGTATTTAAGTGAATTGTGCATGCTCAAACGAACATTGTTTTCTCTGAAGAAGTCTGACTTGTAAGGACCGTGCCAGTCTTCGTATACGTAATAATTGCATTTTATATAGTGTCATTCATGTAATTGCATCCCACAACGCTGCACATCAATTATCCAGTTCCGTACACAGATAATACAAAAACAAAACCCCACTGAGCAAATAAAAAATGAATAGATACATAACGATAAAAAATGCATGTAACAAGAAAAAATCATCGCCTTAACCCAGCACACGATCAGTTATCTGCCTTCCAACACACCGTCAAATATAATTCTACCCTTGCCTTTTCCTTTTAATTCACATTACTCTAACAATGTTTTTGTACATCCCCTCACTCCTTCACCTCACCCATCACCCCCATTCCTTTCCCACCCACGAGCCATCCACCTCTCTTACTCTTACCCTCCAATAATTAATATTTCATCCCATAACACACCCCAAGAGCCACCATTTCCAGATAACTCCCCTATCATCACTACATTTCCCTTCAAACCATTTCCCTTCAACTCCAAGCTCTCTTCACTTCACTCTCCACTTCATAGATGGCATGCTGCCATCGCACTTTGTGACTTCTCTTTGCCACAGTGAATTAATTCCAAATCTCTCATCACTACCTCTCATCCTCACCACTTACCCGATGTCATTCTCTCCTCCCTAACCAGTGTCATGGTACGGTGATTTCAGTAATATCGCCTAATACCAAAGAAAACATTAACACCAAGAAAACATTATCGAAAAAATCATTCCCTTTGTTAAGCCACAAGAAGCGAGATACTCTCGTCTGGGCCTACACTACTCAAGTGTAAACTATAAATGTACAACAACAACCGCCATTCACCACTAAGTGGTGGTGACGTCACCACAGCAATTGTGTCAGGCTATGTGCACTTTAAGGCCACGTGAAGTGTCGAATGCCCAATGGCAGGAGGTCATGGACAGACCGAGGTGCCATGGGTTGACTGACTGAGATGATTGGCCGATGCAATCATCGTACACACACATATGCACATGCACACACACGTACATGCACGTTTGAAAGGGACACTGCATTTTCAACAAAGCCAGTCATGAACGGCTATGGAGGTGATGGCATCGCAAAGCGCAAGGGATTGTAAGAACCTAATGTCTTTTGACGGCTTTCTCCACAAGAACACCAATGAGCTGCTTGCACTACACCAAACACGCGAGCCCTTTGGCCGTCATGCTCACAAAATCAGTGACGTGCGGTGAGGTCAATGGCTGGGGAGGCACTGGCTAGTGTCAGAGCCAGATTCACACACTGAGGGGGGGCGTGGCCTCACGGAGGGGGGCGTGGCCTCACGGAGGGGGGCGTGTCCTCACTGAGGAGGGCGTGTTAGACACGTCCCCCTCAGTGAGGCAGATGTGATAGCTGCCTCCCCTGGTGCTTTTTCACTGCAGTTTCATGACGAGACCAGCGAGCCTAAACATATTTATACACATACGTGAAATAAGTTACCTGGGGTATGGAAGGCGAGGACATGAAATGAAGGGGTCTACAAACATTACATTGGTGACATACTGAGATAGTAACAGGCACATGCTCATTGCCCGCGCTCCATCCAGTTTCTGAGGGGTTGCGCAATCAGAGGGGAGGCTGAGCTCGTCGCTGCCTCACCTCTTGTCTCTTCCTGTATTTGCAGCGGAGCTCTGCAAATTTGGCGATTTTGACTATAAAAATGATTGTAATCGTACATAAATGACATTTATAACACAGCTTAGTGGAAAAATCTTAATATTAATTTTATTTGATTATTCTATTTTTTTCGTAACAGCTATTTTCATTGGAGTATGACAGGTGAGGCTCTGCCTCCCCTGCCACCCCTGACGGCACATCCCTGCACAGAATTCAGGGGCCCACGGACCATCAGAACACACTCAGATATCTCCCAGTGTGGAGCACTGCAGTTTTATGGTCAATGGGCCCCAGAAATCTAAAACACTTGAGAATTGTGGGCAGGAAAGGAAGTCACGTGATGTGCAACTAGTTCAAAGCTGAGGCACTAACAGAGCAGTTTGCCTGTCTTTTTAATATATATTGTATTTTTTAAAATTTATATTGCGAAAGGGCATGGAACAGAGTTAATGTGTGTTGAGCATTGAACATGCAAATACATGGCCGCTGTAAGATAACTGCAAATGCTTTTTTGTGCGATTTCTTAATTTGTTTATTAATTTTAGATTTTGCTTGGTAGTAGGGTTTTCATTTACTTGGAATGTATGTGTGTGTTGGGCTTCTTTTGTGCCGTACATAGCCAACCGCGTAAATGGGATTTGGTCTTTATATATAATTCATGTACAGCGTTGTGGGATGCTGTTGGCATGAACGACAGTACGACACTATATAAAATGAAATTATCCTACAATAAACACAGCTTCTAAATACAACCAGTAAACAGCCAATTAATAAAATAATGTCTGAGCAGATTCAATAGATTTTGGTTGTTTAAGCACTGTCTCCTGTAACGAGTTGGCATGATCCCAATATCAACTAATTTATAACTGCAGTCGTTTCAGGCTAGAGACAATAATAACAATGTGATGAATAAATCAGAGGGTTTACATGGATTTACATCCCAATTAGCCTTATGTTTATATATTGCTACATAATTCTAAACAATATAGTCAACGCAATCTGGTAATGGATACCTTGCCCTACATGCAATGTATATTTATATTTTACAAAAGTCTTGGTAAAGGGCAATAAGCATCTCATATGAAGTAGAAGCTGCATTTAAGAACACATGGACAAGAACACACGCAAACTATGAACGAATATCTCAACAACCGACTTGCTCTTCTAATTCCAACAAGACACCTTTTTGTGCCTGCAAGTGGGTGTCTAAACTAGTTTGAACTCTGGGAGGTGTGAACTCTAAATACAAAGCAAGTGTCAATACTGAGGCACGTTGAGTTCAAATAATTTACATTCTCGTTAAGAATAAAAATGTCAAAACGTAACAAGTATAGTTTGCAAAAGGAAATAAAAACGATTTAAACTTAATTTGAGGAGTACATTTTCACGATCATCATCATAAAGCAGTGCTTTACATTGGGGCGTCACAACATCCAGTTTGTAGAGGGTTCATTTTATCAGGCTATGCCAAAAAACAGCAACTCCTGCCTATCATTTGGATGTGTCTACATATGGACAAAACATTGCATTGATGCGACTGATTAGAATAGTGACGAATGATACAGATGAATAAAGTTCAAGGTTTGCATTAGTCTTACCCGGAGTAAGGAGAATCACGGAGGTGACGATGAGTGAGCAGACAATCATAATGACCAGCAGGGCAATGGCAATTCCCTTCCAGTTCCTCTGCGGGGGGTTACTGCCCACCAGCTCCTGTTGACATGAACACGAGCGCATACACACAGGCAAAACACATTAATAATCATACACGTATACATAAAATACTAATTCAACTTATAATGCGATTTTAAATTTACAAAGAGTCTAGATGCCACTGCCACCTTCACCAATCCCAAGCTTCACTTGGATTAAGGTCAATTGCTTTTTTTGTAGCATTACGTAATTATTTTCCTTTTGTAGCATAATGTAATTGTTTGTTTTCTATGCCGAGAACTATCTTTTTCCCCATGTTTATATTGCTAGCTTTCTTCATTTTAAGTTTATTTCATGAGTTATTTCCTGTATGTACTTCATTTAACACAATTACACTTTGATTGATCATGGTCTCAGCCAACAGCGATCGGAGAAGTCTAGGCCTAGCTTAATGAATGGTAAACGAACATTCAGAAGCGACTGCTTTTTATTGACAATTAATATTAAAATGTTTTGTGGTATTCATAAACAATTGGATACAGTTCTAGATTTGAAGCTTTCGTGACTGCAATGATTCACATTCTTAGGTTTTTTCGGTAAAGTCACGTAGGTAAAAACATTAAAAAGTAAAATAAAATAAAAATCACGACGTTTCGGAGGCAACACAAGCTTCCGTCTTCAGGTGGTACCGTCACAGCCACGACAGCTGTATCAAGTAAATGAGAGATTGCAAGAGCTACCACTCCGTTTATATAATGGTTGAAGAAGGTGGTGGGGCAAGGGCCGCATACTTTTTATTAATATGGTAAGGTGAGGCTTAAGACTAAGAATAGACTGCATAACAAAGGCTGAACCTTTGTTATGGAGAGGTGCGGTTTGTGACTCAACCTGTGACAGGGAGACCACCACTAAACATGGTAAAACAGTAATGGTTGTCTGTCAAATAAGATTGGCAAATAAGTGTAGTTAAATCTTTTTTGCATGGTTAATCACATCTTTCCAATGATTACTCAGTTTGTAACCGTCATCACGGTTGAAATTATGTCTGTGTTTGTATATTTGTATGGCTTCGTGTACAAACCTTTGATGGTAGCCAGGAGGTTTGCAGAGAACCTTGGTCTCGGAAAATACAATTTCATGAGAGCCCACCGAGTTGTAGCAATGATCGGCAACGGCCGAAGAATCAGTTCAGAACTGATTCTGTGTGTCTATGTTGTGTCTCTTTGTGTCCCTGTGTTGTCTCTCTCTGCTCGTGTGTCTGTCTGTGTGTCTCTGTGTCTGTATTTTGTCTCTCTCTCAACTTTAGTTCTCCCTGATGACGGTTGCTTGTGTTGCAATCGAAACGTTGTATTCTATTATTTCATTTATTTAATTTCTACGTGACTTTGCCGAAAGAACCAAAGAGCGATTCCTGCAGTCACGAAAGCTTCAAATCAATTCACCACTTATTTGCGTTGCCAGCAATGTAATCCAGTTTGTTTGGCTTGAAGCACAATGCAGTGAGATCCCCACAACATCTATTTATGAAAGCAAATAAACTTAAGGGACTATGTTGGCCGCTATGCACATGCAGAAGCTGAAAATTACTGCATTGATGTAATGCATTTTGCAGATACTGGCGAGTCCTAATAAGGTATTGTGTATTTGTATACTACTGTCTGGTGGTTTGCCACATTTTCTAAAGCTTTTGAGTGGTGGTTTAAAACAACATGAAGGCCACACATCCAGTTCTATGGAGCTGGTGGTGCAAAAGGCTTGAGAGCTGTTGTGTATGCAATACTGCATACATTTGTGCGTGGTTAAATCTATTTTTTTCTGGCCGCATTAAGTTTTCTGTTGTGAGCATTTTTTTTTCTTTCTAGATTTTTTTCCCATCATTTACTGATCCTAATTGTTATTTTGTTGTAAAACTATTGTGTGGAAAATGTGTTCATCAAAATAAGCAGCACTCTGCCCTGTTTATAATGTTGTGGTGGTCAAGGTTGACACAGGTTACACAACCTAGGGGAGGGGTACGTACCGGTCTGGACTGGTCCGGACCGGTCGGGCAAAGAGGCGGTTGGAACCGCTCTGAGGGGAGGGGGCTGGCGAGAGCCGGGGCCCCGAGACACCCCCGCCCCTCAGAGAGGGGATATATAAGACGGCTCCCGGAGAGCGGGAGTCAGTCCATCTCATCTGAAGCTGAAGGAAGGAGCCGCCGGAGATCCTGGACCCCAAGCCCAGAGGATGCCGCCGAGCCGGGACTGAGTGGGCTGCGGGTGGGGTGTTAAGCTTTCCTAGGCTAAGGAGCCGTAGGGCAGAGAAGGAGAGTAGTCAGACTAGATCGGAGGCTATACCTCCCTAGGTTGTGTGGTTAGGCTATTCCCCAGTGCGTCAGAATGTCTAGCTGTTATTGAATAAAAAGCGTGTGGCCTCTAAAGAAGTCTCCGTCTCCTTCAAGATACTACAACTGGTGTCAGAAGTGGGGTTGGATGGATTCTCTCTGTTCAGGGGCTGAAAATCTTTCTGAGTCCCAGCGATTAAAACTGCGCATGTTACTTCGTGAATTCCCCGATGTTTTTAGCAAGCACAAATTTGATGTTGGGTGCACTAATCTATTGAAACACCACATTGATACGGGGGATTCTGCTCCATTCGGCAAAATCCGTTCCGATTGAGTCCGGCAGAGAAAGAACATGTCCGGTTGGCGGTGAACGACATGCTTGCCGCGCACATTGTAGCTCCCTCCAACAGCCCATGGGGTGCGCCGATTGTGCTCTTTAAAAAGCATGATGGCAGTTTGAGATTTTGTGTGGAATTTCGAAAACTCAACAAGGTTTCGCTGGCGGATGCGTATCCGCTTCCTCGCATGGACGAGTTGCTCGATGCCTTGGCAGGGGCGCGGTACTTTTCCACCTTGGACCTTTTATCCGGATTTTGGCAACTGCCCTTGGATGAGGCATCCAAACCTAAGACCGCGTTCCGTACGCCACAGGGCCTTTATCAATTTAATCGGTTACCCATGGGATTGCACTCAGCTCCAGCAACGTTACAGAGGTTGATGGAGCTGGTCCTCGCTGGCCTGCAGTGGGACTCCTGTCTTATCTATTTGGACGACATAATTTTTTCAGCCGCACGTTTGATGAACATCTGGACAGACTGAGGGCTGTGTTTCTTAGGGTGCGGTCCGCTAACCTTAAATTCAAACCCCAGAAGTGTTTCCTCTTGCGGGAATCGGTGCGGTACCTCGGGCACGTTGTCAGTTCTACGGGTATAGCCACCGACCCCGCTAAAACTGATTGTGTAAGAACGTGGGCCATGCCCACGTCTGTAGGGGAAGTCTGCAGCTTTATAGGCTTCGCGTCCTACTACCGCCGGTTTGTCGAGGGGTTTGCGACAATCGCGAAACCTCTTCATGCTCTGACGGCTAAGGGGGCCAAGTTCCATTGGGGGGAAGCAGAGGACAGGGCGTTCAGGGCGCTTCGCGATGCCCTTGTCAGGGCCCCTCCCTTATGTTATCCCGATTTCACGTTGCCCTTCATCCTGGACACCGATGCTAGCAATACTGGCATCGGCGCAGTGCTTTCGCAGGTTGTGAACGGGGTCGAACGGGTCGTTGCCTACGGCAGTAGAGTGCTGTCTCCGGCGGAACAACGTTATTGCGTCACTCGCCGTGAACTGCTCGTTATTGTCGTATTTGTTCAACAATATCGTCCGTACCTGTACGGCAGGCATTTTACGGTTCGTTCCGATCATGCGGCGCTGCAGTATGCGCTAAAAATAGACCAGCCATCCGGCCAGCTGTCACGATGGCTCGAGGTCCTACAGGACTACACGTTCACGGTGACATACCGGAAGGGTACGCAACATTCAAACGCGGATGGCTTGTCGCGCCTTCCTCCGGGGGATGGATGTGCGTGTTTTATGGGCTCGGGGAGATGCAAATCAGGCACGGTGACTACACCGGCTTCTCCCATGGCGGCGGCGGCAGGGGAGGTCGACGTGGAACCTATCCTCGTGGGGGACTCGCAGGAGTCGGTCACTCGCGACTCGCTGCTCAACCTGCCCCTGGACGAATGGGGACGGTTTCAGATGGAGGACGATTCCCTCCTTAGGTTACGCCGTCGTGCGGAGCGAGGGGGGAATTGCCAGGAGGGTATTGGTACTGTCATGTTGCGGGAAGGTCTCCTCATGTCATGGGACGCAAGCTCACGGCGTTACAAAATCGTCGTCCCCACCGCTCTGCAGGGCAGAGCCGTGTGGGCGGCACACGAACGCATCCTGCATTTGGGCATTCACAAAACGCTCGCTACACTGCAATTGGATTTTTTTTGGCCTGGAATGGCGCGCGATGTCGCCGATCTGTTGAATAGTTGTACGCAGTGTGCGCGCCGGAAACACCTGGCTAGGGCGGCCTGCCCGCCCCTTCAGTCGATTCGGGTGTCCCGGGTTAACGAGCTGGTGGCACTTGACATTCTGGGTCCTTTTCCTGTCACCGCTCGGGGTAATAAGTACCTGCTGGTTGGGGTTGAGTATTTCACCCGTTGGCCTATGGCGTGGCCCCTCCCCAACCAGTCAGCGGCAGCCATTGCGGAGGCGTTTCTCCAGGGCTACGTCCTGGATAAGGGCGCCCCGGAATGGCTGCTGACCAACCAGGAAAAAAACTTTTCGTCCAATCTTCTGCGGGAGGTCTGTGACCTTCTGGGTACGCAGAAGGTCCGAACCTCCCCCTACCACCCGCAGACCGATGGTATGGTCGAGCGTCTACACCGTACCATTACCTCAATGTTGTGCCATCAGGTAAATGACACACAGTTGGATTGGGAACTGCGGATACCTGGAGTTCTGGCCGCATATCAGTTGGCACCTCATGCGGCCACGGGCTATTCGCCCTTCTACTTAATGTATGGCAGGGATGTTGACCCCCCCATGGAGGTGCAATTGCGGGTCAAGACTGCTGCGTCGCGCTCGAAACTGTCCGAACACGTTCAATTCAATATTCGGAAGTTGGTCGAGGCGAGGGTAGCTGCGCAGGAAAATTCCGGGGCAAGGCAACGGGCGAATGAGCGTCTGTATGATCG